CGTCGCTTCGAAGAAACTTGTCCCAGGAATGTTTTCGCCTCGCTATCATCACACAAGTTTCACCCAGGTGCTCAAGGAAAGGGTGTCTCCGAGATACTACATGCCTCCGAAAGCGCGACCAATACGTACATATTGCTGCTAACGGCAATGCACACAGCAGTCCAGTCCGCTTCGAAGCCAAATACTAAAATATCCAGTGGCCGTAGTCACGATGCATTTCAGAACAACGGTCGAGATGATGTGGGGACTTCAACAATTGGTGCAGGCACTCGGATGAACGGTGCAAGCATCTGCGGTATGGTATAGCTCGACTTTGTGAATAAATTTCCTCGTAGTCATACTCTCAATTCGTAACATTCAATAAAATATTTGAAAGAAATCCATTGCGCAGGTCACTACCATACTTCAAAGAACTACAGCTTTGAATACGAGTTTGTGCAGATAACAAATAGTGCTTTTAACACTTGCATTCACCAGGCTTGCAGGCGCAACTAAACAGCATAGTCAAGATGAGACATCCATTAACACAAGAGGACGATGACTGACGAAGCACCACAATTGCATGACTGGTTACCACAGTTCTCAGACTGAGGGATGGTTTCGGTCTGTCCATAAGTCAGAATCATATTTGTGTAAAGGAATAGCAAAACTAACAGCGATCATATTGATATTGAAGTGTTGAGGTTGTGTCTTGGTTTAGATAGCGGGGGTTTCTGGAAAGAAAGAAAAAGAGGAAGCTTATATAGACAAAATATCACAACATGACATCATACGATAAAACACTAGCTTTTCGATGGAGCTCAAAAGCAACAAGAAAGACTTGAGAAATCAGAAAACGGTCCAGCAGTAGTGATCTACGGTTGACAGGGGCCAAGGATCCCAAAAGAGCTAAACACACATTTGCTGCGGAACAATAAATTCCAGAATTCGAAAACACACGCGAGATTGTTGTCGTGCAACTGCCGGAATCGGATGAACGCTAAGGCTGTATTTGGTGTCATTACAAAGATCCATAACTCGGACAGTGACCACGGCCATGCGAGAAGAATCATCATTCCCCGAGTCAGGGACCTAGCGAGGGAATTACTCGGGAACTCTTGCCTATTGCGACGACGGCAAGAGGGTGTGAGAAGATGATGAGGAACCGTGTTGGTAACCGGGATGAGGGACGGGACGACGTTGAGGTGCGTGCCAATGTCAAGGCACTGTGGCCATCTGATACACAAGCCGTGTCAGCACATATGGGGGTCGTCGGAGAGAGGCTGGAAGGCCGAAGACCGATGTGTCAGGACCAGTAAGGACGGCGGACAGAAGGAGGTGATATCGTTGAGGTATGATGAAAGCTTGATATACTATACTAGTGGGCGCTAGAATGAGCCCCTGGGCTGAAGAAAAACCGTATATCAGTCGGTAGATAAATGGTAGAAAGGTTTAAGACAGACCAGGGAGGATGGATGGATGCACTTGACTTAACTCATTAGAGCTTGAAATTATATGCGATGTCGGCGAGCCTTTGAGCTTGGAAGGTGAGCATATATACCAGAATGGATGAAGAACGAACAAGAGAGAGAAAGAGCGAAGGAAATGGAAAAGAAAAATAGAAAGAATGGGAGGCCGATGAGAGAGTGAGGAAGAAAGAAAGGGGAAAACAAACAGAACGTTGTATGGCAACCAGTGCCTTTTATATGCGCGGTTGAGCCATTTTCGCGGCCCGCATTTACATGAGCCATATTTGCGCAGTAATGATTGGCTGTCAGCCCCCATCATTTCATCATTTTTGACTACAGTATGTTCAACATCGATTCCTCCGTTCTCATTTTTGGAGGAGCTGGAACCTTGGGATCGTCTACTGCCTTGCATCTAGCTCGAAAAGGGTTCCGGAACATACATGTTCTCGATGTGTATCCCATTCCAAGCGCTCAGAGTGCTGGAAATGATCTAAACAAGATAATGGGCACCAGTCTGCGGAATCCAGTCGATAAGCAACTCAGTCTCGAAGCGGAAGATATGTGGTACTAGGTGCTTTCTCTCTCAAGAAATATACTAAAATCCTTCAGGTCTAATGACCCGACCTTTTCTCCATTTTATCATCGTTCCGGACGTGTAAGTAAACTTACTTTATCAGAGCTTCGATTCAGCACTCAATCTGTAACATAGTTGGACTGCTGTGGCTCTCCTGATGGCATCCAGGACCTTAGAGACACGGTTGCAAAGCTACAGCAAGCCGGACTCGGGCATACCGTGGAATGGTTGGACACGGAAGCCCAAATTGTCCAACGCGTACCCCAATTAGCCGGCTCTGATATTCAAGTGCAGTATTAGTCTTACTATTCACGGAAGAACAAGCCTTACAGCATTCTCAAGGGATGGAAAGGTATATTCTTCGAAAAAGGTGGATGGCTCGCTGCTGCCAAGGCTATCGATTCGGTCGGTAAAGAGCTCGTGCGACATGGTGTGAAATTCTCGTTCGGAGAGTGGGTACATATTTCTACATCCTCTCCCTAGAGACTTATAATCTCCCGCATAGCTCCGGTGTATTCGATAGTCTCATTCTGTCTGACGACGGAAAAAACTGTTTGGGTGCTGTGACAAAAGATGGAACCCGATACTTGGCTGATCGAGTTGTTCTGGCGTCCGGTGCATGGACACCTTCTCTCGTTGATTTGGAGGATCAGTGCTGTTCCAAGGCTTGGGTGTACGCCCACATGCAACTGACTCCCGATGAAGTTAAAGCATACGCTGGATGTCCAGTGGTATACAACGAAGATCTCGGATTTTTCTTTGAGCCCAACGAGTAAGCATACTATCAGTGATCTTCTCTAGCCTAAAATCAATTCTCATACTAGAAACGGAGTCATTAAAGTATGCGACGAATTCCCTGGCTTCACTCGATACAAGATGCATCAGCCGTTTGGCTCCCCGAAGCCAATTAGCGTCTCAGTCCCGCGATCTCATGCCCGCCATCCGACTGATACATATCCTCATGCGTCCGAGGTTACCATACGCAAAGCCATTGCAGCATTCTTACCTAAATTCAAGGACAAGGAGTTATTTAACCGTGCTATGTGCTGGTGTGCTGATACGGCGGATGCGAATCTGCTGATATGCGAGCATCCTCTATGGAAGGTATGTTTTTCCAACTGCGCTGGAAAGTTGAGGCTCAATATGGCTTCGACTGACTTCAATCAGAACTTTTTCTTGGCTACTGGTGATAGTGGGTAAGCACAATACCTTAATTTCATCATCCGACGAACAATTCAACCTATTCCATGCAAGACACTCATTCAAGCTTCTTCCAATCGTAAGATTTTTTTTCTTGTACTGTAGTAATTTAACCTTCCTCGCTAGATTGGCAAACACATCGTAGAGCTGCTAGCAGGAACCCTACAGAAAGACATGCGGGAGGCATGGAGATGGCGTCCAGGATCTGGGGACGCACGAAAGTCCGTACGAAGAGCATCAGCCAAGGATCTTGCTGATCTTCCAGGATGGAAGCATGAATCGAAAGAAAGCAAAGAAAGCAGCAAGGAACAGAACAAAGATATTGGACAATCTAGCATGGACCCATCTTGCTGTGTATCTGTATAGTAAACTCCCTGAATTATGAATTATTTATTTTTCAAGTCCACGTCATTTCTTTCCTTCTAGTCCTGGTAAGCTGAACATCTATACAAAGAAGTATCAGTACTTCCAACAACATTTTTCCTTGGAATACTGAACTCGCCTCAAATATGGTTTCGGAAGGGACTCCCCAGCCTCTCGTCCCCTCCACACGACTATACATTCTTGTTCCTAGCATGACACCGATAACTGCACCGGTCTCTTCATCTATAATCGGACCTCCGCTAGACCCCGCAGTGGGCAATGGTGAGAATAAGAGATGAGAAAGGGCATCATACGTCCCCGGCTATAGAATGTTAGTAGTTTCTCAGATATAAACGTATGAACACCTACCATAGTTTCCCTTCCTGCAAAGTCTCGATACCCCAATACAGTTCCCCGGACCCATTTACTCCATGAATTCTCGATCCATGGGCTCCATCCAGCTTCACTCGGAGGTTCATGAGACACAAGATGCCCCAAGACCCGAGTTTCTGGGTGTACGGGATAGGGAGATACAGGAAGAGTTGCTACGGGAGGTTTTTTGCAACTCAGTATCATCAAATCGGACCTTGGGAGGCAGGAAACAATCTCAGTAACAGGGTAGATGCTACCTTCACTTGACATCACAAAGGAACCAGAGCTAACGCGTCTGGGAGAGCGATTATCCAAGGTGCGATCGGCTCCAGATTTTAACATTAGAGGGGACCGACGAATCTGTCCAAAGATAAGCAGCAAGAACACGCAGGAAAGGAAGAAGCTTGCACCTCCTCAAATGTATGCGCACAGGTAAGAATTAAGGACTCTCCCTCACGCTGCGAGGGTGCTTCCAACGCAAATCCGGATGCAACAGTAACTTTGTGTTCATCTCCGTCCTGCACACAGTGAGCGACCAATAACACATCCGTATTATTAGCGGAAGTCGATTCGCGGTTCACTTTCCGCGTAGCGGAGGGCCGAGACTCGTATAAGAGGGAAACACCAAGAACATGCCCAGAGTTGCTCGTATAACTGCGAGCTAGGTCACCGAGCGTGGCGTTTTTTGTGGAGGAACCAGCAGACAATATTCGGCGGTCTAATGGTGGAAGAGATACTCGGAAAGACATTTTTAGCCGCTCCTTCAGGTGGCGGAGGAGCTCTGAGGCCCGGGTTCAGCAAGGACGGAGAGACAGTAGCGTAGGATGGACAAGTATTCCTCGTAAGTAAGGGCAAAACCAAGCGAGCTCCAGAGCGTCTAAACATAAGTTAACAGGGGGTGGTTGGCGTGAAAGATAAGAAGGGCAATCTTGACTGTTGCTAAGCTTTACTTTACTTCTTACTTCTTAACTGTTCGACGTCACATCTTGTTTATGCGACTAAATCGTATCCGTTGATTAGCAAGCTCTCAGCCCTACATCATGGCCCGCCTAGCTCAATCGGATAGAGCGTCAGACTCTTAAGGCGGGTAAACCAGTTTGGTATCTGAAGGCTGCGAGTTCGACCCTCGCGGTGGGCTATAAAGAGGCTATAAGATTTTCTGCAATGTGATATTTTTTTATAGAAAAAAAATCAGTTTTAATTAAGCACAAGCTTTATTATTTCTACGTGCATTATATCTCATACGAAATATCAGCATCATCGTCTACCACAAAACTCCCAAATTCGTATGCATCCGGCTCGTCGTCATCTCTTGGGGGCGAACTTGATACCCCCTCCCTCCTTTGGTTGCCGCTCATCGAGTTACGTCCAAATGGCCCCCTTCTCATGGGTTTGTTAGCAAACGTCGGGGCTCCACTAGGTGCCTGCGTCATAAGAGAGCGGCGATAGGCTAGAGTCTGATCATACGAAGGCGAAACTTGCGTCTCCGGAAACTCCTCTACAAACAGCCTGTCCGATTCGCTCTCGACATCCTCGCTCCCGGACGAACCCTCGCTGACTTCGTCTCCAGAATGTTCAGCAGCATACTCAAACAAAGGATTATGCTTCAGCGGAATAATCGGTCGCTTCTTGTGCTTCTCCTTGGAACGCTTTCTAGCCGGTGACGGTTCCATGTCTGCCTCGGAAGAGTCTCGTCGCCGTCGGAGGCGCCGAGGAGCCTGCGAAGGACTTTCGTCTGCAGGCGAAGAGCGAGGCAGGGGTCCGGCTATGCGCTTTGTACCTGTTATACCGGCAAGTCTGGGAGCAAAGGTAGGTTCAGGAGCCTGCGGGGATTCAATGACGGAAATGGGAGAAGACGCTGTGAAACGGGCAGGGAGCGCAGGGGGAGGCATATCGGTTCGACGGGTGGATTTATGTGGTGGCGAAGGAACTCTGGTCTTCTCCCTCTGTTCAGAGGAAAACCAGGATCTATTTCGTATTTGGGATGGTGGAGGGGGCGATAATTTATCTTCCCCAGGCTCCAGGTCGTCGATCAGCATCCTTTCTGGGGACGAATTATGAGTGGAACGTGAAGGCGAGGCAGCAAAATCATTGTCAAGCTCCATGATGGAATTGTCTAGCACTGGGGATCGCTTCGTTTTTTTGACGACCGGGGATGAATCAAGCTCGAAAACCAAAACGTTGTCATCATCGGATTGCCATGAGAGCTCAATCTCGCCATTCATCTGTGGAGATTGACTTGGTGACTTTCGACGTCCTGGTGATTCGAAAGGCTGTTCGAAATCTTTTTCAAATGATCAGCAAAATATACCGCTTAAAAACGCAAAAGATTACCTGAAAAATCATCACCATGATCTGAATCCGAATCAGTCAAGTCGATGACTCCAACGTCTCCATCGACAATAGCCTGGTCAGAGGAACCTCTACGAGGAGAGGAATTGGGAATAGCTGGCTTTTTCGGGAAAATTCCATTCTCGATCAGCATATCATCCGAATCATCGTCACCTTTCGCTAGAAGCTGACTAGTGGTCCATTCGCTAACCGGAGGCTCATTCTTTTCCTTCCCCTTCCTTTTCTTGCCCTTCGCCTTGTTGGGATCCAAGGTCTTGGATTTACGCAAGGTACTAGTACTGGCCTTGGGTTTAGGATCCGCCGCCGACTTGGACTTTTTGAGTAGCGGAGCAACTCCAGCAGCAATGTCCAAATCATCCGAATCGTCTTCCCCCAAAGCCTCAAAATCCTTCGGCACGCGAGTTTTCTTGACCTTCTTCTTCCCTTTCGCTATCAAATCGGCAACACTAACAAAACCCGTACTCGCCCCCTGCGGAATGTTTCTCCCCATATCATCATTCCTCTTGCGTTTAACACCCTTCTTTGGTTGGTCATCACCTTGTGCGCGCTTCCTCCGCCCTACCTCGCGCACGTAAGGATGAATTTCCATCTCCTTCTCGAGACATTGTGGATGGACGTTGTCTGGAAGTAAGCGTTTGACGTCCGCGTAGAATTCTAGATGGGACCCGTGCATAATCGAGGCTAGGACATCGTCGTAGGTGGATTTGGCCTTGTCAAAGTTGAGCTCTTCCCGACCGTCTGCGAGCAGAGCATGTACGTGACCGGAACGCTTTCGCCCAGTACGTCCTAATCTTTGGAGCTAATGTGGAGGTGAGAAACTTGGTTTTGAGAATAAAAAACCCCACATACCATGCGAATTGGCGTCTTCTGCGTATCATAAAGGACAGCGAGATCTACTTCTCCGATGTCTAAACCTTCTTCGCCAACAGACGTCGCAACGAGGACATTGAATTCATTGTTCTTGAATCTTTGGATAACCTTTAATGGTGCGACGGTTTAGTCAAGCCTTCCCTTGAAAAATGAAAAGGAGACTACTATACCTCCAGCTGTTCACGTTGCGCCAGACCTTTCTTCCCTTTTTTGTCTGTCCCTTGACCAATAAACGCCGTAGCCCGAATAAGAGGCTGCTCCTCATTCAACATGGCTACAATTTCATCCACCGCCGTCCGATACGTGACAAAGACCATCGCCTTTGTCGCTCCCTCTCCCTCTTCCGGATCCCCGTCCTCGTTCATCCGAGAACCAAAATGCTGCACAATCAGAGTCTTCATCTTCTCCATCTTGGGATGAATAGAGAAGCCTTGTGCGTGTTGAGCACGAATCTCAGACATGATGCTGAGAAAAAGTGGATCGGCGAGGGCTTTCTTGGCTTTGGTGGCTTTTCCTTTCTCGGCGGGTGTCATGTCATCCCGAGCCTCAGGCTCGGTGGCGTATGCCTCGAGTTCGTCGTAACACATTTTGATTGTACCCTCCATCTAAGGGGAAACTGATCAATACAACCCCGAAAGATGAACTGGAGGAATGACTTGCAAGATAGCCCAAGAATCGAGCAAACGTCGCCAACTTCTGGAGAGGTTGGAAAAGATGACCTTGGTTCTTTTCCCTTAGGCTGGGTATTCGACCTTGAAATGCATATGGATGCATTCGCTCTAGATTGGGTGTGCCAGACCACATACTCGAGACCGACCTAAATATTTGCTGAAGCCGCAACCGTTGAGTTAATAGGGGATTGAATAAGTGGTTTGCACTGACTTGCATGTACTTTACAATCGGAGCCTTAATTCTGTCGATCTCGGGAGACATTGGTATAACATGTTGCTCGATTTTCTATAAACAACAGTATGGACAATCAGAAAGACGCAACGCAAAAATGCATACCTTGTCATGATTATAGTGAGCTAGGGATCGCTCGTCCCGAATTTCAATACGACTGATGTGCAGACCATCGATAAGTGTTTGCACGGCATCCTTGTTACTTCCGGGAGTAGCAGTGAGAGCTAAGATTCGAAAGTGGGGATTCTTCGCCATCATGTAGCGAACGACTTGGTTATAAGCGTAATCGCCTGTCGCGCGATGGGCCTCGTCTGGTTCAGTGAGGATTAGCTTAATATATGATGAACAGCAGGTACTTACCAATGACAAGCAGCACGATATCTCGAGCGTCGCAGCCCGAGTTCTCGGTTTGCAAATCGTTCATAAGCGTCTGAGGCGTCATGTAGAATACACGTTTCGTTGCGTACTGAGATAGATAAGTTAGAAAGATGGATCGAACAGTAGATACATGGCTCACAAATCGACTCCTGGTTGCTTTACCAACGTTTCCCGTCAACTCTTCTGCGTCACTACCTGGGATACCACACGCCTCATGACATGCTTCAACTTGCTGCGATACAAGGGGTTTTGTGGGGGCGACGAAGATGACTTTGCCTTCCGGGAACCATCGATAGTCTGAGCGATGAGGAGTAAGCAAACCGTCGATGATACAGTGGTTTACCCACAGTTCAACATGACTACTCCGGCGATAAAAGTCTTTCCTAGACCTGTCGGAAGAGCAACTATTGTATTCTCAAAGAGACTGTTTTGAACGATTTCGAATTGATAGTCACGTTTCGGTCGGTTTAGAGGATAGATCCAATGTTTAGCCTCGAGAAGGTCAGGTTGGAGTTTCATAGGTGGAGACTGAACATATGTGAGAAGGAGATAATGCACCTTAAATTATGTCACTAACCGGACTGAAATAAGCAGCAACAGTTGGAGCATGAGCATGAGGATTAAATGAAGAGACGGGGATCCTGACTCACCCAACTACAAAACAGAGTCAGAGTAAGCCCTACACGGAGGAAACTAGACTCACGAGAGATGAATGGCGCTGGAAACTGCTCAAACTCTTCCGCTTCCTCCTCAACATCTTCATCGTTCCTCTGTTTCTGCTTGCCTTTTGCTTTGCCACTTCTAATCCCGGTCTTGGCGAAAGCAGTGTGGTCCCACTGCTTCGTTTTCCGGGGTTCTGGCGCTACAAGAGGTTTGCTCTTGGACTTTTGATTATTGATTCTCGCCCGGCTCGTAGATGCCTCCCTAGGGAGGATCTCTCCAAACAGAGTTGTCTGCAAAGTGCCCTTCGACGCTGTTCTAGTAGGAATCTGTTGTTGTGGCGGTTTATTGTAGAAGCCTTCGAGCTGCTTGTCGATATCTTTGAGCTCGTTTTCATCAAAGTCAAAAGTGTCATCGTAGTCTGAGCTTTCTATATTGATTGGAGAAGGCGCTCTGTGGGGTATAGGGGGTCGAGCAGGCGACTGTAGAAGAGCAGCCTCAATTGCGTTGAGCTGTTCCAAAGTTTCTTCGTCAAAATCGTCCTCGAAATAATCATCAGAGCTCATTCGGGAAGCGTGGATGATGGTTCTAACAAGAGCGCGTTTTTGACGCGATTAGTCACATGATTCCTGACTGTTGAGCCAATCACGCAGAACGACGGCCGAAATCAAGTCTTAGTGTCTGGTAAGTAGTGGGTAGTCCAATCTCTTCCTAATCCGCCCGTTGCTCGTTTCGACCTCCCTTCCACATCCCGGGAGCTTCAGCCTTGAAATCCGACTCAGTTCTTCACTCATATCGCTTGATAATGTTGCGGTTCTTGTCTTTCCTCCTTCCAATGAGGAGCTCGATGATGAAGACGGAGACGACCACCAAATTATCTGGGAAGGTAAAGCAAATTCGTCCGGCTCATGGCAAACCAAACCATTTTACTCTCAGAGGCAGTGTGTTGGCCTTGTTGAAAATGCCATCCTCACC